CGGCTATGCCAATTCCTGCTGTTCTCTTTTTGTGGCTTTTTTAAATGCGCATTGAACGTGATGTATTTTTGAATTCGTCCAGTCTTAAGTTGTGCACTTCCACAAAGGTCTCGGCAAATCCAAAAGGCCACACTCAATGAGTATAATCTGAAAAGTGCAATGTGACAGAACTTTTAACATAAGGCCAACATAGGCAACACTACTGCTCAAATCACTTCTTATATAGAATTTGATTTAACACCACATTTTTAATCGATCGTTTCTGTTGAAGTTAATAAGCATTAGTAGGAAACAATTATACTCTGATTCCATTAAAAATCGGTAAAAACGGCAGAATGTGGAACTGAAACTCTAAGTCTTAATTAATAGCCCAGTCAATATAGCCATGTTCGTCTGTCCGTAGTTGCTCCTATTACCCGTGAAGTGCGAGTCTGCTCTAGAGCTAGAGTCAACTTGACATCTAGCTTATTTAAAAGTATATACAGATCAAGTTTCTTTCATTGTATTATACACGAAATCAGTTGTGCAATGCTTTGTCTGTTGAGCAAGTAGCTAGAAATAAATGACGAAAATCCCTTATGGGTCTGAAGAAAGCTGATAATCGAAGATGCCCTAACAGAAAACGAAAATCAATGTCACCCATAAGTACCTTATGTAGAAAGAAATCACCGATGATATCCTACGGTTGGCCAAAGAGGGCCAAAGAGGGAGATTAGGTAGAAAAAGCCTACTGGAATACTGTTATAGCCGAAGATTGGGATCCCAGCCTAAGCCTCGTAAGGCAGAAAGTAGAAATTGCCTTTGAACTGATATCGCATTGAATCACCTTACCTTACTTTAATTATACTGCAGAGGCCAAATACATGAGCAGTACTCAAGCTTATGACGTACAAGCGAGATGTACAGAAGTTTTCTTAACGTTAAATGAACCAAACATCACCTTTGCCCATACATCATTGGTACCGATATGGAGATTAAAGCAGAGCTTAGAATAACAAATAGACCATATCTATGTTCTATGTTTTTTTTATATATATTCAAATATCGTATAACACAATAAGAACTACTACAGAAAATTGCACTAATATTCTCAACCTGCTAGTCTTACATGCATAAAATCACACATGCATATGCATGCCGTTTGCCCCAGACTTTTAGAAATGTTATTAACTTATATTTCGCTGCCCATTAAATTAGCAGGGCTTAAATGTGGCGTACACCCATGCCAAGGCGTAAAATTTTGAGAAAATCAAATTTAAGCTTACTCTGGTGGATGACGGGAAAGGCAGTCCGATCGTTGACACAAACTTGCCAAACAAACCCAAAGTCAAATTTTGATATAATTTACGCAACATAGCATAACTCTTCATACACACAGTTGCCTAACGGCTACTTTGAGCAGGGAACATGACGGCACGTTCTGTGCTTTCTTTAAGAATAAAAAGCAATAAAATCGAAGCTTTTGGGCAGTTGATAGCTTTCCTCAATTTCACACATGTTTTGCATGCGAAACTTACTTCAGTCCAACAAAAATAAGTGCGCATTCTTACTTAGTCGAAAGTGCCCGACTAGGAAATACCCTGAACAACAGACACTGTCACAATCTCCATTTACTTGCCATGCCAGGGCAATACCCGCTAGTATTCTATATAAATATATCCAAAATAAACATAGAAGCTTTGTATTAAATAAAGCAGGAAAAAGGTTTAAAAACAACTGGAATTTAATGAAGGGGAGTATAATGCCATCCAAATTTTTGCAACTTTTAACAAAAATTGAAATTTTTCAGACTTGTGGGGAATATAGGAAGGTATTCAAAAAGTAAAATATGCTTAACCCATCACTGAGCTACTTTCAAAAACATTCTAGTATCGTTTTATACATACATCCGCAAAATCTGCATCTTCTGATGGAGAATAGAAAAACTTGATGATGTATTTACTCTTCTCGTTTGGTCTGTTATATAAGTTAGCACAAAATCATTATACCCATTATACCCTTATACCGGATGTCACAAGCAGCATTTTTTGCATTTTGACAAAACGTACTTGTCAATTTTATTAGTAAAATCAAAAGCCAGAAGTCAACATAGAAGGCTTTTTGAGTCACGCGCACAGCTTCACGATAACAGGAACTGTCATATCGTAAGCCTGCAGACGAAACTTGTAATTTTAATTTAGCTTCTAACTGCATCGAAAAGTTTATACATAGCTCCGTCCGTCACGACCGTAAAAATGACCGCAAAAGTTATACAAGGTTAAAGGAAAAGGCCAATGCAAAAATGTTGCATGTGCTGAAGAAAAAGAGTACTAGATTAAGCGGAATGGGTAGGAAATGCCAGACAGGTAGACCTAGGGGATTTTAACTGGCTCTTACTATATATTTAAGGGCTCATACACCTGTGGGTAAATTGTGCATTTCCTTGATATTGATAACCGTTTTTGATTCGAACAAACAATTCATTTTAATAATAGAAAAGTAAGAGTGCTTCAGTCGAGAGTACTCGATTTGCAGATACCTCGAACACAGCGACGGGCTACCTTAAGAAAAGATGTGCTTTATTGGTGTTTATGTTTGGATGCTTAACAGCTCGGCTGTTGATCCTGATCTGGAATGTATGTATATATCTTATGGGATGGTCATAATACCATCTAAAAGGGTATCAAAATGTATTATTCAAGTATCATATTGATAATATAAAAACAATTAATTGAATTTAAAGACAAATAATAAAAAAAGTCACCCGTAAACATCAACTTTTTAAAAATAGAAAAAAATAAACGTTGACCACACTCAACCCCCATCCTCAAGATGGTTTGGAATTTCAAAATATTATTATGCAGTCGGCTGCGCCTGACTGCAGCTTTCCTCATTGTTGAATAATTGTCAATTTAAAATTCATTAAGTTCAGAGACAATCCAAATCAATGCCGTTTACCATTGTAGGTTTTATTCGGCCTTGGTAGTAGGCGTTGACTGCGTATAGGGGAAATGTTGGTCAGTGTTCTATCTTGGAATAAGTACGAAAATGTAAAATGGCAAATGCTGGAGTACCAACTCCCTGTCCGGATTGGCATGCGACTCGAGTATATATCATAGACTCCAATGGGTAAGGCTACATTGAAAGTGGAATATGGGCGTTGTCGACGGGCAGTGTTGCAGTGGGCTTTGTGTGTGAGCTGGTGTGTATTGTTAGGTTAATCACTCGCTTTGTTGGCAATTACTGTTACGACAGGGACAACAAACGAGCCAATTTAGGCTGGGGTCAACTGTAAGCAGGACGCGGCATCCGACATAAAAGCCACAGCCACTTGGCTTTTGTCGTTTCTTTAATGCTTTTGTTGACTTTCTGCGAATATCAATGAGTCCGTTATGTATGAACTTCAATTATTGTCGCCTGACACTAGAAGAACAACGGCATAAGTGAAGCGATGACATTTGACAGGACTTGACATTTTGACACCGAAACTACAACAAGAGACAAAAACGGTAACGCCTGACAATTACAGCATCACCTTGCCATCACCTGTGCGGCACATTCAGCCAGAAAGGCAAGTAAATGGATTTTAGTGCTCATGGCTATAAAATTTTAGTAGTACGCAATAAAGGATCTTTGGATCTTGCCAACAAAGTGGATAAGCTATTTTTGCTAAGCCAAACAGAAGCAAGTCATAAAATGCCAATTGCAATGCTCTTGATAGAATTCAATAAGGACGCGCATTACGTGTGTGTGTACATGAATATAAAAATTCTTATATTTTGCGCAACCTTGATGAAATTTTTAGCAGAAGATCTTAAAGAATAGAATGGAATTGAGGCGATATCTATAAAATGATATATACTTGGTGTACATATATATATACTGATATATATACATACTTAGAGCTAAGGGACTTCCTAAACAAATGAATATCGATATCGATTTGCATAGATTGCTTGGAAAGGGGAAAAGTTACATTATTACACTTTAAATCTCTAGGCTTATGGGGTTGAAGATGCTTTCTTCAGCCTGTTACACACATTTGCACAAATAGCCCTTTCAGCCATTCTGAATGGGTTCAGGGTATAAAAAAACGTATTGAATAGGATAGCATAACATACACACACAGTTCTGAAAACAACACAATTGGAATTGCAATGCTCTTGATAGAATTCAATAAAGACGCGCATTGTGTGTGTCCATGTATACAGAAATTCTTTCAATTTGCCGCAAACACGTGGCCAGGCAAAACACGCTTTTTTTTAATACCTTTTGTGTTTCCCACTGAGCTAAGAATATTCATATATTCTCAAAAAGAAATATTGGTTTAAATTGGTTGGTTGTTCTAACTGATTAATTGATTTGATTTATGGCAATGGGGTAGAGCGAGGTGGCTGATAGCTATAAAATAGAAGAATACTTCTTATATATATACTATTCTAAAAGTTACGAGTCAAGTGTGGTGACTCAGCTCTAAAAACCTAAGTTATTTGCTTAAAAATCAGGGCCGCGTTCGGGTGCCGCAGCAGCTTGTCGGCGTATCGGCTGCTAAACTGATCTCCGACCTTTGTCAGACGGAGATCGCGTTTGATGAACGAGTTATATAAAATAATAAAATGGTTTTCCATTTCTTTGCATTTCAATTGGCTATTGTTAATCAAGGTACCTTAGCTGGTGGCATGTGTGCTTGAAAACTTTATTGGCCCGGCATACATTCACATTTACACAAGATTCTCTATGTTTCCAAGCCCTAATGCGTTTGTGTAGCTTTTACCTTTAGGGGACTTCTGAATTTCCAGCTAAAGGCATGCATTTGCTGGGTTCAGGGTATCTCTAAGTCGGTCGATCCCAATAAGTGCACTGTGGTTGTTATTACCGAACCATGCAAGTGTTTATTTTTTCCATTTTGCATAAAATTTACACGGTCGACGGCTCAAGGACAAAACTTGCCCATTTGCAACTATTAGCGTCTTCGGCCATGTAAAAAGACTAAATAAATTCTCATTTGGAAAGGTACTCACCTAGCATCTTCGAAAGAAGTAGAAGGCATGTGTAACACAGCAACTGCAGCAATTCCATATTTCATCAGCTAGAAGAATGCGGTGAATCTTATAACTTCAACGAGCCGTTTCTTATTGTCTGAAACTTCAGAGTGGATACTTATACATCCAAAGCGAAGAAATTATTGCGTTCAGAAATCTATAAAAATATGAAGAATAATAGTAATGTTAAGTGCTGCAAAAATACATTTAAAAAACAAGTAACAGGGAGTGTCTGACTAAGGGATACTCTGAACCTCCTTCTACTAGCTTTAATGACAAAATTTAATAAAAAATATCGTTTTCTCTGCCGGTTAAGAAATAGCAACCATGTTCAACCGACTAAACTAATTGCCTACGCCAAGTAAGAGGCTTTAGTCAAGAGTTGCTTTAGCAGAAATTAAAATAAATTAACAGAAAAATTGGTTCAATTGGTTCCTCAATAAGACTCGAACTCGTAAGCTAAAACCAGATATAAAACCGGAGAGGAGACAATTTCTGAGGTCAGTTCTCTTTGGGAAGAGATATCTCCAGAGGGTATTAGAAATGTTATGAATTTAGCACCAAGGCGCCTTTTAAAAATTATTAAAACCAAAGGATATACACTTTGCAAATTTCTTCTTTATTTTTGTACTTTTGTTAAGCATAAACATTATTTTCTCGATATAAAATTCCTGCCAAAATACTTATGCCAACACATGAAATTGTATATTTATATTTGTTTGGTTATTTTTAAGATTGTATTTATTATGGTTTAAAATTCAAAGCTGTTTAAAAGTTGAACTTATAAATGCACGATTGTTCTCTCGTAAAAATACTTATGTCGACTAGTGTACACCGGGAATAGAATTTTAATGAAAACAAGTTAATTTAAATGTCTATAGTAATTCTTGTATTTTGCCTTTGCTGTTTTTTTTTTTTTTTTTTTTTTATTTGGTTTATTTTGCGCTGGAATCGATCAGTGCCTTCTGATCTCTACCAAGCGGAGTTAAGGGTATAGTGTATAGTTATTATTTAATAACTTAAATGATAATTACAGACTTAAAAATATATAACAATAATGGGAAAGGGATGTTAAAGTGATGTGCCTCGTTGGTAGGTCGTCGGGGTGTAGCCTTCGGAGGCGCCTCTCACTGATGGGCTCAGCCAGGGCCCTTGCGGCCGCGTTCGGATGCTGCACCAATTTGTCGGAGTATCGGCTGCTGAAGAAGTTGAGCTGATCTCCGACCTTTGTTAGGCGGAGATCGCGTTCGATGGCGTCTGTTGTTACGTACCATGGCAGGCCAGCAACCTTGCGTGCTGCCTTGGCTTGGACCACTCTTATGCGACGGAGCTGGTGTGCTGATGCCGTGCCCCAAACTTGGATCGCATATGTCCAGATAGGCGTTACCATCGTTTTGATAAGCAGTGTCTTCGTGGATATGTGCAGCTTCCTTTGCTGTTACGTGGCTCTGCCTGGCCTAGGGCCAGTTATGGGCCACTAAAGTGCATATCGTCGCAATGAAGGCCTTGCCAAAACCCTAGAAAAATACCTAAACCCTCCATGCAGTTCGCAGGACTTAACACCGAAGTCGCAAGGATAAACCCAGTTGCGAGGCTATAAATGCACATTTTGCAATATCAACATCACGTTAACTACGTTGCTGACATCGATGTAAAGCTCAGCTGATTAACATACATGCTACTTATTATTATTCTTTTTACTCGGCCATGTTGTGTTGAGCTTTCAATATAATACGCGCCTTTGATAAGCAAAGCGATCATCCAGATGCACACAAATATTATTTGTTTTGACATGCAAGCTTTTTGATTTCTGATGATTCTTAGTGAATACACAGAACTATTCAATTTTAAGTATTATTATATACTTGCACAGTTTAAAAGCTATCGCAAGAAACTTTGAATGCGTCCCTTTCTCTGTAACGCACAGTACATACATGTATATCGGAAGCGGCTGGATCGGACCATTATATCATATATGTAGCTGTCATAGGAACGATTTGTTTTTGTTTTATGTTTTTCAAGATATCTTGGTATTTTTAATTTGATCATCTTCCGACCAATATATACATATGTATATGCCATATGAAAAATCGACCGAAAATCAAGTTCTTGACGAGCTTCACTAATCTTACATATCTGTAAAGCCGTAAGATATATTTGACAAGATTACTTTCTCGTTTTGTATTGATTTTTCGACAAGACGACTTGGTAGTGTGGGGTCTCGGACGAGAAAAGAGTTGATTGAGTTACCTGTTTTCCTTGTCAATCTAAATCCAGAGTCGGGAATTATTGACGATAGTGGGTCTTTAGTGAAAGGATTATTCAACTTTCAGTTATGCTTAGGATGCTCATTTAAAATAAAAGTTAAGGAAAATGTTTAAGCATATAGTAGCTGAAGACTTGAAGATAGAGTCGACAGCACCTGGGATTCTATGACCCGAGCTCCGTAAGCTGAGCGGGATGATGTCGAGTGTAACGCTTGATTTCCTCTGACATAAGTGGCAGCGACTTTACGCAGCTTTGTTTTTCTGTGTCGCTGTTGTCCTTATTGCGTCATCGTTGTCAGTGTTGCTGTCCTCTTGCTCCTTCAACAACGGGATTTGCAGTTTTGTATTTTGCTGGCCTTTCCTGGGTTACTCGGCATTGCCATTGTGTTGGACAACAGCTGTAGCAGTGGCATCAGTGGCGATGGCGAAGAGTGCATGTTAAGTGCCTTATTATCCTGTTTATGTAACTGTGTAGTTTTTTTTAAGGTTATACTCGCGGACATATGTCTTCACTGGCAGCTTGTTGCTGCGTGTGTGCTTTATCAGCGCTAAAGTATTTTTCTCTTCATATTTAATTCATCTCAGCTTACAAATTGTCATAATGTCCTTTTTCCTCCATGTACCCAAATACGTAACATTTTCAACACAAAGTGCTAACTTTACTTTTTCCTAACTAACGAAGGCAAAGATGCAATAGCCAAAATTGATGAATACAGAACCAGCTGTGACACAATGCAAATTTAAGCTAGAACACGTATCGCATTTAGTTTTTATACATATGAACAACATATATATTCTGTTCCATGCAAACTAGTTCTTGAGTAGTGAAGCTACAATGCAATGCTCCTGAAAATCGTCTCAAATGCTTTTGCATACATTTTCAAATCCGAGCTCAAGTCGTTTGAATATGTAATAAAAATATCTTGTACACACACTACATACAGAAATTGGCCACTCTTTAGTTGGTCCAAGGTAAAATACAGACAATTGTCTTGGTATTGGTGTTGGAATAAAAGGGTTCAGGGTATTTCCTAGTCGGTAGCTCCCGTCTAGAACCTCTTACTTGATATGTATGGGTAATGTAGACAGAACAATGAAAAGTAAACAGTAGATAGTATTTAAACTGACCACTTCATCACAATTTAATGATTTAAGCAGCCGCAAAAATATTAAATTTATTTACCTTTGCTTATAATATTTATAAATTGTCTCCAAAAAGTATTTAATAATGAATATGCAAAGGTAAATGTGTGTTTTTCAACATTTTAATATGCATGGCAGGGCTGACATATGCAAAAAAAGGCCGACAAAAAAGGAAAAACCGCTAACGGCAACGAAATAAATTTGTCAGCCATTGCAATATTCTTATTTTCTCTGACGACGAGCTGCAACGAACTGGACCTACCCCATCGGCTGGCTCTGGCCACGTAAATAAATAAATGCACAAATATACATATACATATATAAACATTATATATATATATATTATATATATATATATATATATGTATATATATGGACGAACTGAGACCGTGACTGAGGCAAAGGATGCAGGCGACCTTCCATTTCCATGGCCATTTCAAGCCCCTTCCTGAAATTGTGCATGAAAAATATGGAAAGACATTTGGCCAGAGACAAATTTTTGCAGCTGCATCCGCATCGGGCTGATCCAAAAACTGACAATAAATGTCATTTAGTTTACCAACGTACAGATGCAAACAAACAATATTTATTTAAAAAAAAGAATTATAAAAACGATGGTCAATTGGAGTTTCTTGGTTTTTGTTTTGTTTTTAACTCTACAAAAAAAAGGGCCTTACAATCAATAATGACCACATCCATCCAAAAGACCACACTTTATGCCACTTTATAGCATCTGAATAACTTTTCACAATCAAGGGATAATGTTGTTATGGCACTGTTGTAGAGAGCATGATAGCCTTGTCCAGAAAGTAAGCTGTGAAGCAAATATCTCTCTATATAAAATTATTTGTCCCAAACCATAGGAGCTACGAATCTGAAAGTAGTTACCGTATGTGATGAAGATATCCGCTAAGATGGTTCCACTGCAATGTGAAAGAATCGTGAAAAACGGCTGTAAAAAACCTTTTTTGATTACCAGCCAGATTACCAGATTTGGAAATTCCAAACCTGACTCGAAGTTAGGCAACTATCTTGTTTGAAGGACTGCTTCCTAGTTCTTACGGTATGATACGGGCTGTGCATTGATCACCAATCAGTCAGTTAATTAGTCGCTCAGTAATGGCAAACAGTTTTATATATAGATATATATATATATATATCTATTTGTTTATTTTTAGAATGACAAGCACTACTGTAACTATGTTTTCAGTGTATTGTATCGCAAACTTACTTTAACTAACTGGACAAGGATAACAAGGTATGATTCGTGTATGATTCGTGCATAAATTTATCAGCATCAACAGCCGAGTTGATAAAGCAATGTCCGTTATTCCGTTTCTAGGCTATTGTCCTAAAACTTTGCATAGATCCGTCTTTCTGTTGCAGGTAGTGCATATGTCGCAGCCGGATCGTAACCATATATCATATATCTGCCATAGGAACGTGTCCAAAAAGTTATCTTAACTCGGCATTGGAAAATTGCACTAAACTCCCTACAAAGCCTTATCTGCCTTGAATAACTATATCATATAGCTGCAAGAGGAGAGATCAGTGAAATACTTAGTAGTATGTTATAGGGCAAAATACTCTGTTTTCATAGATATTTTAACAAACTTGGCATTTTCGAGCTGCACTGCTCTCACATCTCTGCGAAAGGAATATGACAAGAGGGGTATTAATCTGGTTTGTTATAATTGATGTTGGTAAAAGGGGGTTCGAGAAATCCACTAGTCGGGAGATCGCCATCAGAGCAGTCTTTTTGTTTTTATTTCGCAAATTTGTTTCGAGCCCTACTCAACTGTGCCCATTGGTCTGTTGGGCGAGAGGTGGGCTGCAGCACGTATAGTTCCGGGCAAAACATTCAAAATACACTTTTAGCTGCTGCAATAACGAAAAGATATACTTGTAATTCTTGTCCATTGTTCTGCATTTATGTTCTTTCATAATCTGAAAAGCCTATGTTGGTTTCGTGCGATTTTCCTCTTGCTGCAGCTCCGCCTGTCTTTATGATCGCAATTTCTTCGGCCAAGCGCAAAATATCTGAAGCTTTAGATCTGGATTGACCATGGTTTAAATAAAGACTACTTACAACTGGACCAAATATTTTACCTACGACCAGAGCGTGACAAATTGGTAAACTCGATGTGTACGTGCTTTTCAGCGTCTCTTCACGGTCGCATCAAACAACTTTTGGAAAAACACAAATTTCCGTCACGGGAGAAGGTTGTCACTGGCGAGCGCAAGTGGATTGAGTGAATACCAACGAGATGAAGTTCACGTCAAATTTAGTTTCACAAAGCATTTAGAAACAGGGCTTCACACAGTGGGAGAATCGGCCAACCTAGCTTATATCAATTTAAACTATGGAATCATGCATCTTAATGTTTTTTTTTTAACTTTTTGATTAATATTACTTTATCTATCTAATGGATAATGTTTTTTATTTTGAATATCACTTTTGATACATCTGTCAGCCACCAAAGCAACCTATGTTTTAGCTCGTGTAAAGACACATTCCGGCGATAATATACACTAAATACCGCACTATTTACAAATTATTGTCAAAAGTTTAAGCTATAAATCCAACAGGAGGTTCTAGTCGGGAGCTCCCGACTAGGGGATTCCCTGAACCCTCTTCTTCCAACATCAAATGCATATATGTATTCTATTTTAGAAGCTATATGTCAAGTTTGGTGTGTTATTTACCAAAAGTGCCCAAAAAACAGGATATCGATATCGATTTCTATCGATTGCTTAGAAACGGAGTAAGTTATCGATTATCGGAAACAAACTCGATCTGCGCAGGCACTAGAAGCACCTACATCTAAAATTTCAAGAAATTTCTAGCTCTTATAGGCTCTGAGATCCTTGCGTTCAAACATACGGACAGCCGGACAGACAGACAGGCGGACATGGCTAGATCGACTCGGCTCTAGAATTTATATACTTTATGGGGTCGGAGATGCTTCCTTCTGCCTGTTACATACATTTGGATTTTGCACAAATACCGTATACCCTTATAGCCATTTTTAATGGGTTTAGGGTATAAAAGTAACAAATAGGAGGCTTTGGTCGAGAGCTCCCGACTAGGGGATGCCCTCAGCCCTCTTTTACCAACACAAAACACAGCTCGCACTACGAGCTCGTATGCTTTAGAAGTAAATAAGTCTTTCATTTTGTAGGTATCGCTGATTAATCGCTTAAGATCGATTAAGACTAGCCAGAGATTGATAGATAGATCAATAAGATCAACTGTTGAGAATTTTAATCAAGATCAGTTAAGAAATACAGAAGTTATTAAAGTAAACGAATTGTTGGAATGGCTGTTGAAAAAAAGTGGCAGCAAGTTGTGCGATCTCATACGGGTTCAAGAGGGAGGGAACGTTTCTTTATTGAATAGTTTTTTATTACTGCCAAAGGAAACGAGCTCGTGGAGTTATCTGCATTCGTTGTTTGTAGAAGATGGTTCAGGTTTTTCGCTAGTCGAAAGGTCCCGACTTAGGTCCCTTACTTGTGTTTATTTGAGATAACCAAACCGGGATTTACTAGTTTCAGTTTGTTTCCTAAAAATATTAAAATCTGATTGGCCCACTCGGACCACTATATCATATAGCTGTTATAGGAACGATCGGTCGAAAATTAAATTCTTGTATGAAAACTATTTCGTTTATCAAGATATCTTACCCAAACTTGGCATTTATAAGGTTCACTATGCTCCCGACCGATTTGCTAAATCCTTTAAACAGCGGACCACTATATCATGTAGCGTCCACATTAAAGATAGGTCGAAATGTAAATTCTTATATGGCAAAATATTCATGATTCCAAGCGAATTTCATGAAACACAGACTTTACTATCATATTTCTTTAGGTATCTGCAAAAGGGAAATGTTTACTTCAGAGGATTTTCCATATACCTGACCCTCTCTCAGTTAGGGCTTAGACTCTTGATTCTGGGGAAATGAAAGCTGGGAAGCCATGAAAGAGGCACAATTAGCCCAGTTTGCCAAATTGAGAAATGGATTATTAAGATGATTGGCGGCATTCGAAAATTAGATTGGAGTTATTCTGCGGTTGCTTAAATGTTACATTTGGTAGTACTGGCATTTTAATCAAGTTTTTCTGTTTGTGACGGCAATTAAAATTATTTATTAACACGCCGGAACAAATATTTGCTACACATCAGCGTACTCACGAACACCCATTGTGACTTGGCCCCAACGTAACAGTTGCGTGAAGCATTACATAAGAGTTTTTTCGCTACATAAACGCTAACTAATTGAAATATTAACACCTGTAAGCGATGGCCTTAACGAAGGTGACCCAAACGCAAAATATCACCGCAACTAGCGGCGGCAGCATAAAAATCCTGATAGCTCATCTGGGCGGGTGTGTGCGTGTGAGCAATTAAACAAAGTGGGCATAAAAATTGGCTTGCCACGATATGAGTCCTAGAAAACATAACAAACGTAAATGTTGCGGCAGCCATAATACCAATAATAAAACGAAGAAGTATTAAGAACTAAGCAGAAGTGTTCCTGCGACTGCGGAAAAAATAATAAAGTTGGAAAGTTAAAAGTAGGCTAAAAGGATTTAACGGTTTTGTGCAGATACAACAACAAATATATGTAAGCATGCAGAGGAAAGCATTCCATTCCTGATCATCATTAATAGCCGAGTCCATCTTGTTTCAAATAATCGATAGCATTTCGTGTTTCCAACATATCGTTAAATAAATCTTACCTTTTAAGAGCTAGAGCTTCCAAAAATTACCTGTTGCTTTTCGTATGCCAAACAATGATTTTAGTTGTTTAATACATAATACAAGATATTTCATCTTTTATAGAAGCTACATGCAACATTTGGTGGATCTAGCTCTAAAACCTAACAAATTTGCTCAAAAACAGGACTACGAAATCGGTTTTAATCGAATGCTTGGAAATCGATAACTTTTATCGATTATCGATAACAAGGAGCATTAACATCCCAAATTTCAAGTCTCTAAGTCTTATAGGTTCTGAGATCGTCGCGTTCATATATACGGACAAACAGACGGACGGACTGATCAAGAATATATATACTTTGTGGGGTCGGAGAAGGAAGATGGGAGGAAGGAAGGAAGCATTCTGCCTTCTACATTTGCACAAATACATTATATACCTTTTACCCTATTTTAATGGGTTTAGGGTATAAAAAGTTGCATTTTAATCATGTTTCTTGTGATTTTGTATTAGCTCGTAACTAAGAGACAAATTTTGTTATATGTTCAATGAATTGGAACAGATTTTCGGCTTAACAAAAATCGAATCACTTGCAATATGTCCAGCCTCTTTGCACTATTCTCTGCTAGCTCAAATGTAATTGTATTAGTTTCATTCAATATGTATTTAAGAGCAACGGCTTTTCGTAGCTAAACGGCTTCGCGTTGCACTTACGTCCATGATTTGATGCTGGCATTTAAACGAGAAACGATTAGTCAAACATTTCTCACTTGGCTTTTGTGCTCGGTCCGCGTTTGTGTTTTGTTGCTTGTTGAGAGAATCGGTTAAGTTGCTTACACTAACAATGTTGCAAGCATTGTGCATATGCTTCCTGTTGCTGTTATGCGCTCGAGTGCGTGTCCTTGTGTGATTCTGTGTGTGTGAGTGTGTGTCTTGTATATTTTAAAGGAATTAGAACAAATTACTGTAAATTAGCTTTACATTTGATTTTTTGAATTCGCTGACATTTTGTTTACAGATATGATACACTTTCTTTTAGCCGCTCGTTAATCATTATTCGTAAATCAATAGGCATCCACGTAGTGTTATTGTTGGATTATATTCTGTTATTTTGGCATATAATTATGAATCACGAAAAAAAAAAATGTTTAATGTACAAAGTGCAGTCCGTGGAAACTGCTGAAAACACTTTACAAACTAACGTATAAATTCACACGCGACGTAAATTTAGCCACGATAAAACAAATGCGCACAGGGTCATGGCGACCGCTTGTGTTGGCGTTTCAAACAAAACTGTTGCTTGGTTGAGTTACAGAACCGACTCGAGACAAGCGACTCATCGTGTGTTGGGATTCTCGCTGAAAGTCCTGTTCGTGCCAGTACTTCGTGTTGAGCTTACGAGAGCTTATGGTATGCTCGTGTTATGCTAGCGGTTCATAACATGCTACCGTTGGCTGTTTGCCAATTATTGCGACCATTGGCTATGCTTCCGGCTTCGGAAAGTTGCCAGCGCCTGCTTCAATGTGACCGTTATGTTCTCTTAACACAGGCAAAACCGATGAAATTGAGTTCGCCTAACTTTTCCGCCTCTACCCATGCCAATATTCGCTCTTCAACTCGTGGTGAATTTTCGCTTAAGGCCGGCTATCGTGCCAAACGGTTTGTTTACGTTTTGTGTTTACCTTCCAGTCGCGCAAAAAAACTAGCTTCAGTTTAATAAACACGCTGGAAAGCCTCCGGGTGCCGGTAAAATCCCTTAAGAATTTATGCCGGTAAAATCCCTTAAAAATTTATACCGGAATTGGGTTCGTACACTACTAGGCTTGTCATTCCTAGAACCCCATAAAGTAGATTAAAAATAATCTTAAATAAAAATAATAATATATATACATATATATGTATAAATGTTTATATAATATCTATCTATCTGCTTCACAACGGCAAATTAATATTAGAATTTTGATTGATATTTACATATTCCTGAAATATAAGAGAATATAAAATAAAATGTTGTATCTATAGTTCTTTTATATGTATAGTACTATATACTTGAATGCTCGGACGCGACATTGTCCGCGTTATTTTCGTTGAGCCGGTAAAATGTCCACTACTCCCCTGCCCCACCAATCGCGCGCATCCCCATCAATTATATAATTTAACAAAGTTGTGATAAAACACATACAAAGGCCCCTTTCCCCATTCCTTGTTCAAAAGTGTACATTTAGCGAAGAAATTACCCGACGTTGCCAGGGTCTACTCGAAAATGTTCCAAATTCCATTGTACTTAAATTGCATCACCATGGGTCTATATAGTTTAGTGGTAGAATAGTTCATATATTTAACAATGAACCGTATATTACTTTTGTCCCAATATATACCATTTTACTTACTGTTAAAAAAACCCTTCAGTCCTTAAAAGCCGGTGAAATAAATCTCGATTCTCACGAACATTGTAGATGTTGACTGTACTTAAAGTGGCTTATAACTAATTCTCTTTGCTCAATTGTTGTTCGAGCACCTATTTTGGTTGTTTCCAAGTCTAAACACTATAATGGACAAATCCTAATAAAATGCTTGTATTGCATATGCATATACAGAATTAAACGTATTAAACGTTTTCACTTTCACCTTAATTGGAAACAAGAAATAGTGTCATTTAAATGTTTACGTAAAGTTGCGTAAAAATCATATTGTATGCAACAAAGAACGAACGAAAATGAGTTTTCAAAACATAATTTTGTTTTCAAGCCGGAAGAAGATGCACACACACACACACGCACACACACACACAAACACACACTGCATAAACTGCGCAGCTTGCGACGTGCATTCATGTGTATGTATAGAATATAAAACACTTTTTAATACTGGAAATATCACAGGCGTAACTAATGAGGAGCCAATTGGGCCGTTTCGCGCTTGGCTGGGTCATCTATGAAGCTGCTACCAGCGAGATACGTGCCAAGCCTGAGTCTGATATAAAAAAAAACTATTGCTGCTATTAGCTTGTGTATTCGTGCTTGTACAAGTCGATGTGAGTGTGAGTGCGAGTGTGAGTGTGAGTGCGAGTGTGGGTGTGAGTGTGAGTGTGAGCGTATTTTCCCGTGGGTATAACGTTATTTATGTATAGCAAGCTCCCTTGGCATCCATATACTTGATTTATAGCTGTTATTGAAAAATTTCGGAGTGCAGCTTTTAATTATGAAGCGTGGAGCATTTTGGTGTGAAGTCCTGGCCTGGCTTCGGTGTTGCCCTTTCGATGCTACGAAATGGATTAATGCATTCATTTACAGTTGTCTACAGTTCCAAACAATTAACCATATCGTGAGCAGTATATGTAACTAAAGTTGCGGAGTAACACAGAAGCCATAATACAATAAGGATGTACTTTTCGTGGTTTAACTAAGTTAAATGCGTTATGATTCAGAACGTTGTAGCCTATGGGTGACATATATTTTAATTTGACGGAAATTAAAGGAAAAACATCAAAAAAAAAAAAAAAAAAAAAATATTGAAGCTACCAGAAACGCAGCGGAGGTGTAGCTGAGGCCCAGGCTGGCCTGGCTGCCATAGAGGATGGCAATAGCGACAGTGGGCCGACAGTGGGACATGCAGGGCGCAAGTGTTTTAACACAATTTAATATGTCCCGCCGACGATGACGACAACGTCACAGCATAGATTACTTACTGCGACGACATGGGCCGGAGCCAGATAATATGGCTGGCTGAAAACGAGCCGAGAAGAGGCCGGCCGCGATGACGATGCCGGAGTTGGCATCATTGATAATGTGGACGATTCCTATGCTCGCATGTATGAGGCACGGCGGCGGCGCACACTTGCAACTTTATTAAATCATAAGGCACCAGATGACGCCGTCTGCCGTTCACATTAGGGGCAGGCAAGGAATACGCTGTCTGGTGTCGAAGGAAACACAAATATAAGTATATGAATGGCAAAGTCAAGCTTGCCTTTAAAATTACTCTTCAGCAGCAACAAACGAAAACAAATAAGGGTGTAGCCGTCGGTTACTGCCGACTGCGTTTAGCGTATAATAGCAGCTCTTAAATATGCTGCCCAAAATATTATACACGTATCATTGTAGTTAGTCAATCTTGGTGAAAACACGCAGTCCTAGCCGTAAGAAATAAGAGTCTCAATCTGACTGGGGGAAAACATCAAACCCAACACTTAGATATAATTGTGCAGACGGGATGGCTTTACTTGTTTAATTTGTTAATTTGTTATTTAATTTGATCAAACAAGTAAAAAGGCTGCAGTCATCGATTGTGCTCGCTGCCAGATTCCTTGTACGCCGTCAGCAGCACGCTTTGTGTTAATAGAATCATTATACTTATAAGACAACATTATTTTTATAAGATAAAAACAATATAACTTAACGAGAAGATGTTCTCTATTTAAAGTCAATTCGCAACTAATTGTACTTAAATCAAATCTAACGGCAGCGAAACATGTTTTTACTCGAGTGACACCGAAGAGTGATCCAATTTGTAGGCTTTGCCAATTGCCGATTGCACTGTTAAAGCGAATTCAATTTAATTGTAAGCTCAATTTTAGTTGAGAGCTGCGCACCAAATTAATTAAAATAATTTACCGGCTTGCATAAAAACAGCAAGCCCATCAACATTCTATGCACTTGTTGTTCTTGCTCTTCGTATAGTTGAATTTAATGGTACCGCAGAAAGATATGCTAACAATTTAATTAAAATTGCATTGAACAAGCATACACAAGAACAAACACTCTTGCACACTCTTACAAACGCACCCACAATCATATTCCATGCTAGTCAGCCATTCAAACTATACTATATTATTCCAAGTTATTTCTTTCTACATCTTGCGGGATTGCGCCTATAGCAAAAATCAAGTACCCATTAAAAATGGGTAAAAAGGGTATACTGTATTTGTGTAAAATTCAAATGTATGTAACAGGCATAAGGAAGCATCTCCGACCCCATAAAGTATATATATTCTTGATCAGCATCAACAGTCGAGTCGAGAACAGTCCGAAGGAAAGCATCTTCGTACCTATAAAGTATATACACATGTGTATCCTTGCTCAGCTTCAATACTCGAGCCTATCTAGCCATTGCTGTCTATATTTGTGTCCGTCTGTGTGAACACGTCGATCTTAGAACCTATAACAGATTGGAGACAGACATTAGAATAACACGCACCTTGCATATGTAGGCTGCTTAAAAATCCAGTAAGAGTGCTCTGCTTGTCAAAAATGATGACTCAAGGGAAGCTAGCTTCGGAATGGGCCCCATTCGATCTGGTGTCCCTGAGGACAGGGTTCTTCTATCGGTGGATAAGGCTTTTTCGACCTTTTGTCCAAGCGTTTCTTACGAGATCAAGCCTAGGTGTCGAGAATATCCAGCACTCTATGTTTGCGCTGCAGCCGGGTCCATCGCGCAGGCTTTAGCTGGTTGGGCTGCGAAGTGTGAGGCACACTGACGGGTTGCATGCCGCGTGCAGCTAGCCTTGGCTTAACCTATTTAAGAAGGAAGATGCTCTAGTCAGAGGTTCCCGACCAGGAGATTCCCCTAACCCTCTTCTGTCAACATCAATTGCAGCTCGTGCTATGAGCTCGTTTGCCTTAGCAGTTATATCAATGAAATATTAAAAAATAGTTCCCTTAATAAGACTTGAACCCATAACAGGCCTCGCTGCCAATAACAAATGTGCGTATAAAGCAACTGACTTCCTTTAGAAGTACCTGAAGCGCTTCGAAAACTGCGCTTGTAGGCGGAACATTGTATTAAGCATACGCCACGGTTACCCACACCCTGCGCAAAGACTCCTGACCCGTACTCTCTCTTCATGCAGAGCTCTCTGAGCATGTGTGTGACAAATACCTAAGAGTCATTCCCGACAGACGAATAACATTTAAAAGGCATGTCACCAAGGCAATCAACAACGTTAAATACCATATAAGGCGTAAGAGTTGGCTATCAATACCAACTCTCGTTCCAATCTAAGGGTTTCATCCATAAGGTAATCCTGCCTCTGAGACAGTCGAACAAGCTAGAACCTAGACTAAACTCAACAAAATAAACATAGACTACCAAATATACCATATACAACCTGTATATATCTAAACGAAGCTACTTAAAGCCAGGCCAGGCCAGGCCAGGCCACCCAAGATAATCCCTGCGACAGAGATCCTATGCACGACTAGGCCTATGGCGCAAGACTGCAAGACGAACAAATGGGCCTCTATAAGGCAAGAATCCAACAGCGAAGAAGCCACAAT